GGTTAAAAAAGTAATATGACACTACGCTGCACATGTGTATGAAAAGAATTTGAAAGCTCAAACGCGGAACACTCTCCAATGAAAATGCGTGTTCAACTAACAAAGCTATCAATCTGTAGTTCAGCCAACATCCTATTTTTTTGCTGAATCATGTTTCACTAATGTTGTTTTTAGGAGGTCCTAAATGGAAGTGAAAAAAACGCCAGAAAAAACAGACAATTGAAGAAGAGTCATGAACGCAAAAAAAATAGGAAAAAAAACTGACTCGTTTTTGAGAAACTTCAAATTTCAAGAAAAAAAAATGGCCATAAGCTCTTCGAATTTCAAGAAAAAATTATGATTAACACTGTTTTGATATAGTTAACCCAACTTGAGAAAACTGAATCAACAAAATACGTTTTTTTGTGACCTTTGATTTTTTGCTGTTCGATAGTCTTCCTTTTAACAAAAGAAAAGGAATGAACTTGAAAGAAATATTGAAAGTCAAACCACCAAAAAATGAAACGCAAGCGTGAATAAAACAAGACTTTTTCCAAAAAAAAACAAACAAAAAATCACCAAGACCTATAAAAGAATTTTACATTCATGGCTTTTTAGAAAAATTAGTCGGTACAGATGCCATCTAAGAGTGCAACAGAAACGTTTAATTAATTGAATTCCAGTTTTTTGTCATTTTTTCTAATTTTTCTCCTTAACTAGATATTCTACTAAATACTTGGCTGATTTTTACTTTCAAAACTTTTGTTCCCGCATTAGTTGAAGTTTTCATTATTGCAAAATGCTTGATTTTCTACAATAAAAAATATAATCTGGTTTCGTAATAGTAATTTGTGAATTTTCAAGAAGCTATGATGAAGCGGAGTTAGCTTTGTTTCTTCGTCTAAACTGTCATTAGAATATCATACAGCAAAATTAATTTTCGAAAACCTAATTGAAATGTGAGGCAAGTGGAAAAGTCCAAAAAAATTAAGACATGTTTAGCCCAGGACAGGTATTTGTCTTCATGCATCAAATCATTTATTTTGGTTCAGCCGATTAGGAGGAGTACAAAACGCTCCACACACAATCACAAACTTCATATTATTGATTAATAGTATAATAACAGAAAACTAAACAAATTTTTAAAACGAAACTGAAACTTAGTACGTTATTTTTAAAGCACTCAGTCAGAATAAATATTCCGAGAAAACAAAAAGATGGTGAAAAATTATATCAACTCATTTTTTGGGCTGATTACTTAAACAATTGATTCCTAAGAAGCTTAGACACAATACAAAAAAAAAAGGTTTGTTCCCGAAAGTAGTTTTACAATTAACCACATGTGCTGACTGATTTTTTCTCCCACAACATACATAAAAAACTTAGTTTGTTTAAATTATGGAAAACTCAAAGAAGAGGGAGCTTAGTATATTTCTTCTAAATTTTCTCACTATTGTATGACAAGCATTCTGAATAAAAGATTCAACTGGAGGTTCACGACCGACCACTATTGTTCAACTGAGAACTGGCGGATAGAGGCGACCAAAGTTTCGACTTTCTCGGCCGAAATCGGATTTGATTTGATTTTGTAAGTGACTTAGATTTGCTTCTCGACCGAAGTTAATCAGTGGCAAAAGTGAAACTTGCTTGATTTAAAACATGAGTCGAGAAACTCTTCCCGTGGTGAAGCTAGACAATTGAAGTGAAAGAGATCATCTTTTTCGTTTGTTATTTTTCTTTTCTTGCTCATCAATTTTTTCGCCGTTGTTCTTTTTTTCTTCAGCTTCACATCAAAAACTAGTGCCAATACTTTTAAAAATTAAAAGATATTAATGATAGCATTATTTACGGGTCTTGTTAACCCCATTTCCTCACTATGATACCAAAAATATTCACCTATTGAACTAATTCAACGACTAAGCACACCTGAGTTATCCACCCGTGAAAGGGAATGATAAGGGAATAAGTTCAAAAGATACCGGTTTCACATCTCGTGCCATTCAAAAACTAGTGCCAATACTTTTAAAAATTAAAAGATATTAATGATAGCATTATTTACGGGTCTTGTTAACCCCATTTCCTCACTATGATACCAAAAAAATTCACCTATTGAACTAATTCAACGACTAAGCACACCTGAGTTATCCACCCGTGAAAGGGAATGATAAGGGAATAAGTTCAAAAGATACCGGTTTCACATCTCGTGCCATTCAAAAACTAGTGCCAAAACTTTTAAAAATTAAAAGATATTAATGATAGCATTATTTACGGGTCTTGTTAACCCCATTTCCTCACTATGATACCAAAAAAATTCACCTATTGAACTAATTCAACGACTAAGCACACCTGAGTTATCCACCCGTGAAAGGGAATGATAAGGGAATAAGTTCAAAAGATACCGGTTTCACATCTCGTGCCATTCAAAAACTAGTGCCAATACTTTTAAAAATTAAAAGATATTAATGATAGCATTATTTACGGGTCTTGTTAACCCCATTTCCTCACTATGATACCAAAAAAATTCACCTATTGAACTAATTCAACGACTAAGCACACCTGAGTTATCCACCCGTGAAAGGGAATGATAAGGGAATAAGTTCAAAAGATACCGGTTTCACATCTCGTGCCATTCAAAAACTAGTGCCAATACTTTTAAAAATTAAAAGATATTAATGATAGCATTATTTACGGGTCTTGTTAACCCCATTTGCTCACTATGATACCAAAAAAAATCACCTATTGAACTAATTCAACGACTAAGCACACCTGAGTTATCCACCCGTGAAAGGGAATGATAAGGGAATAAGTTCAAAAGATACCGGTTTCACATCTCGTGCCATTCAAAAACTAGTGCCAATACTTTTAAAAATTAAAAGATATTAATGATAGCATTATTTACGGGTCTTGTTAACCCCATTTCCTCACTATGATACCAAAAAAATTCACCTATTGAACTAATTCAACGACTAAGCACACCTGAGTTATCCACCCGTGAAAGGGAATGATAAGGGAATAAGTTCAAAAGATACCGGTTTCACATCTCGTGCCATTCAAAAACTAGTGCCAATACTTTTAAAAATTAAAAGATATTAATGATAGCATTATTTACGGGTCTTGTTAACCCCATTTGCTCACTATGATACCAAAAAAATTCACCTATTGAACTAATTCAACGACTAAGCACACCTGAGTTATCCACCCGTGAAAGGGAATGATAAGGGAATAAGTTCAAAAGATACCGGTTTCACATCTCGTGCCATTCAAAAACTAGTGCCAATACTTTTAAAAATTAAAAGATATTAATGATAGCATTATTTACGGGTCTTGTTAACCCCATTTCCTCACTATGATACCAAAAAAATTCACCTATTGAACTAATTCAACGACTAAGCACACCTGAGTTATCCACCCGTGAAAGGGAATGATAAGGGAATAAGTTCAAAAGATACCGGTTTCACATCTCGTGCCATTCAAAAACTAGTGCCAATACTTTTAAAAATTAAAAGATATTAATGATAGCATTATTTACGGGTCTTGTTAACCCCATTTCCTCACTATGATACCAAAAAAATTCACCTATTGAACTAATTCAACGACTAAGCACACCTGAGTTATCCACCCGTGAAAGGGAATGATAAGGGAATAAGTTCAAAAGATACCGGTTTCACATCTCGTGCCATTCAAAAACTAGTGCCAATACTTTTAAAAATTAAAAGATATTAATGATAGCATTATTTACGGGTCTTGTTAACCCCATTTCCTCACTATGATACCAAAAAAATTCACCTATTGAACTAATTCAACGACTAAGCACACCTGAGTTATCCACCCGTGAAAGGGAATGATAAGGGAATAAGTTCAAAAGATACCGGTTTCACATCTCGTGCCATTCAAAAACTAGTGCCAAAACTTTTAAAAATTAAAAGATACTAATGATAGCATTATTTACGGGTCTTGTTAACCCCATTTCCTCACTATGATACCAAAAAAATTCACCTATTGAACTAATTCAACGACTAAGCACACCTGAGTTATCCACCCGTGAAAGGGAATGATAAGGGAATAAGTTCAAAAGATACCGGTTTCACATCTCGTGCCATTCAAAAACTAGTGCCAATACTTTTAAAAATTAAAAGATTTTAATGATAGCATTATTTACGGGTCTTGTTAACCCCATTTCCTCACTATGATACCAAAAAAATTCACCTAATGAACTAATTCAACGACTAAGCACACCTGAGTTATCCACCCGTGAAAGGGAATGATAAGGGAATAAGTTCAAAAGATACCGGTTTCACATCTCGTGCCATTCAAAAACTAGTGCCAATACTTTTAAAAATTAAAAGATATTAATGATAGCATTATTTACGGGTCTTGTTAACCCCATTTCCTCACTATGATACCAAAAAAATTCACCTATTGAACTAATTCAACGACTAAGCACACCTGAGTTATCCACCCGTGAAAGGGAATGATAAGGGAATAAGTTCAAAAGATACCGGTTTCACATCTCGTGCCATTCAAAAACTAGTGCCAATACTTTTAAAAATTAAAAGATATTAATGATAGCATTATTTACGGGTCTTGTTAACCCCATTTCCTCACTATGATACCAAAAAAATTCACCTATTGAACTAATTCAACGACTAAGCACACCTGAGTTATCCACCCGTGAAAGGGAATGATAAGGGAATAAGTTCAAAAGATACCGGTTTCACATCTCGTGCCATTCAAAAACTAGTGCCAATACTTTTAAAAATTAAAAGATATTAATGATAGCATTATTTACGGGTCTTGTTAACCCCATTTCCTCACTATGATACCAAAAAAATTCACCTATTGAACTAATTCAACGACTAAGCACACCTGAGTTATCCACCCGTGAAAGGGAATGATAAGGGAATAAGTTCAAAAGATACCGGTTTCACATCTCGTGCCATTCAAAAACTAGTGCCAATACTTTTAAAAATTAAAAGATATTAATGATAGCATTATTTACGGGTCTTGTTAACCCCATTTCCTCACTATGATACCAAAAAAATTCACCTATTGAACTAATTCAACGACTAAGCACACCTGAGTTATCCACCCGTGAAAGGGAATGATAAGGGAATAAGTTCAAAAGATACCGGTTTCACATCTCGTGCCATTCAAAAACTAGTGCCAAAACTTTTAAAAATTAAAAGATATTAATGATAGCATTATTTACGGGTCTTGTTAACCCCATTTCCTCACTATGATACCAAAAAAATTCACCTATTGAACTAATTCAACGACTAAGCACACCTGAGTTATCCACCCGTGAAAGGGAATGATAAGGGAATAAGTTCAAAAGATACCGGTTTCACATCTCGTGCCATTCAAAAACTAGTGCCAATACTTTTAAAAATTAAAAGATATTAATGATAGCATTATTTACGGGTCTTGTTAACCCCATTTCCTCACTATGATACCAAAAAAATTCACCTATTGAACTAATTCAACGACTAAGCACACCTGAGTTATCCACCCGTGAAAGGGAATGATAAGGGAATAAGTTCAAAAGATACCGGTTTCACATCTCGTGCCATTCAAAAACTAGTGCCAATACTTTTAAAAATTAAAAGATATTAATGATAGCATTATTTACGGGTCTTGTTAACCCCATTTCCTCACTATGATACCAAAAAAATTCACTTATTGAACTAATTCAACGACTAAGCACACCTGAGTTATCCACCCGTGAAAGGGAATGATAAGGGAATAAGTTCAAAAGATACCGGTTTCACATCTCGTGCCATTCAAAAACTAGTGCCAATACTTTTAAAAATTAAAAGATATTAATGATAGCATTATTTACGGGTCTTGTTAACCCCATTTCCTCACTATGATACCAAAAAAATTCACCTATTGAACTAATTCAACGACTAAGCACACCTGAGTTATCCACCCGTGAAAGGGAATGATAAGGGAATAAGTTCAAAAGATACCGGTATCACATCTCGTGCCATTCAAAAACTAGTGCCAATACTTTTAAAAATTAAAAGATATTAATGATAGCATTATTTACGGGTCTTGTTAACCCCATTTCCTCACTATGATACCAAAAAAATTCACCTATTGAACTAATTCAACGACTAAGCACACCTGAGTTATCCACCCGTGAAAGGGAATGATAAGGGAATAAGTTCAAAAGATACCGGTTTCACATCTCGTGCCATTCAAAAACTAGTGCCAATACTTTTAAAAATTAAAAGATATTAATGATAGCATTATTTACGGGTCTTGTTAACCCCATTTCCTCACTATGATACCAAAAAATTCACCTATTGAACTAATTCAACGACTAAGCACACCTGAGTTATCCACCCGTGAAAGGGAATGATAAGGGAATAAGTTCAAAAGATACCGGTTTCACATCTCGTGCCATTCAAAAACTAGTGCCAATACTTTTAAAAATTAAAAGATATTAATGATAGCATTATTTACGGGTCTTGTTAACCCCATTTCCTCACTATGATACCAAAAAAAATCACCTATTGAACTAATTCAACGACTAAGCACACCTGAGTTATCCACCCGTGAAAGGGAATGATAAGGGAATAAGTTCAAAAGATACCGGTTTCACATCTCGTGCCATTCAAAAACTAGTGCCAATACTTTTAAAAATTAAAAGATATTAATGATAGCATTATTTACGGGTCTTGTTAACCCCATTTCCTCACTATGATACCAAAAAAATTCACCTATTGAACTAATTCAACGACTAAGCACACCTGAGTTATCCACCCGTGAAAGGGAATGATAAGGGAATAAGTTCAAAAGATACCGGTTTCCAATCTCGTGCCATTCAAAAACTAGTGCCAATACTTTTAAAAATTAAAAGATATTAATGATAGCATTATTTACGGGTCTTGTTAACCCCATTTCCTCACTATGATACCAAAAAAATTCACCTATTGAACTAATTCAACGACTAAGCACACCTGAGTTATCCACCCGTGAAAGGGAATGATAAGGGAATAAGTTCAAAAGATACCGGTTTCCAATCTCGTGCCATTCAAAAACTAGTGCCAATACTTTTAAAAATTAAAAGATATTAATGATAGCATTATTTACGGGTCTTGTTAACCCCATTTCCTCACTATGATACCAAAAAAATTCACCTATTGAACTAATTCAACGACTAAGCACACCTGAGTTATCCACCCGTGAAAGGGAATGATAAGGGAATAAGTTCAAAAGATACCGGTTTCACATCTCGTGCCATTCAAAAACTAGTGCCAATACTTTTAAAAATTAAAAGATATTAATGATAGCATTATTTACGGGTCTTGTTAACCCCATTTCCTCACTATGATACCAAAAAAATTCACCTATTGAACTAATTCAACGACTAAGCACACCTGAGTTATCCACCCGTGAAAGGGAATGATAAGGGAATAAGTTCAAAAGATACCGGTTTCACATCTCGTATTTGCAGTGTCAGCTCTTCTGTGAAAGCTATAGCCGTTGAAGCTCTACTCTTGAGATAAAACAACTGGATCTGAATTGGTTAATTTGTCACTATGGTCTCCTCACTTTTGTTCTCTTTTAGATCTGTTATGTGACGTCACAGACGTCTTAACACAATGACCTTGTGTACAGAAGATCAAACTATCAGTCTTATAACAGCTTAGTTAGTCTCAATTAGATAACTTCCAGGGTAGGTCTCTGGCTGGTTAACTGGAAAAACATTACTAACCATAGATTGTGACTCATTCTCTATCTGTGAACTTCGCTTGTGTATCTCCTGCTGGAGTGTCTGGTAGTCCAGCTGTTTCACCTCCAGAGCATGTTTCAGTTGCTTCACCTCCTGGGCCAACATCCCAACCACACTCTGCATCTTCGCCCTCTCCCCCGCCCACTCCTCAACTGACTGCGACACTGTGTTCAGTCTGAAACGAGAACTTGTCTGCTTAGAGATATGTCGGCTTAGATTCCTAAAATTCAATGTTGGCTTCAAAACTCAACAGGTGAATCTTTTTGCAGTCAGTTTTAGTTTAGATGTTTACATTTTGTCTCTTATTTGGGACGCTGTATTCAGTATTCTAATTGATGTGAACATGTCTGCTCAGAGATATGTCGGCTTAAATTCCAATTTTTAAAGAAGTTTAAGCATATGATTAAAAAACAGTTCGAGACGAAAGATCAAGAAAAACTAAGTTTCAAGCTTTTTATTTACAGGTAGACACATGTTTTTGATTTGAAAAAGAAAATTCTCCGTTTTAAAAAAATTTTGGCAGAGATTTCGCGTGCTTTCTGGCAGCTGCAGAGAAACAACCAGCGAGCTTAAGGCACCCAAAGCATCTACTGGCTTAAAAATTACATCTTGATTTACAAATAACTTAATATCAATTTGAGATGAAAAAATCTCGGCATCTTTGTAGCGATGTATCTACTATTCAAGCTAAGTTTTTAACCGTGACCAGACATTTCCACCCCAAAAAGCAGTCATTTCAGGAACTGACTGTTCTTCGGGCGGAAATGACTTGAGATGAAGTGAATTGGAGTAGTTTTTAATAGGAATGCTTAGTTATTAAAAGAATATAATTTATTTAGTGTTCAAAAATATAATTTTTAAATTTGCTATACGAATGTCAAGATTTCTTTCACCTTGCGAAGTATGAGTCATTCCTCTGAAGAACATCTCTCTGAGCACTCATCAGATTAGTCTCTATCCTCTTCACCTGACCTGTCAGATTAGTCACACTTGACTGACCCTGCTCCATCTAAAAAAAGAACATATAATCAGTTATAAGTTCGGAATCAAGAAGATGCATCCCTACTTTAAAAACAAGACGAAAAAATAACCTGCTCTTCTGCAAATTAAATTGAGTTACAAATGAGTATTAAAATGAGTATTATAGTTTATGATATAAACTGCATGAGTTGTGTTAATGTTGACGTCTAAAATCAATTTTTTGTCAACATCAAACTAAACAGTTAATTAGTTTTTTTTAAATATCTACTTCTTAAAAATAACATAAAAGTTAATACATAAAAACCTAAAAATTTAACAAACTTGTGCTGATTTGTTTTATTATTATATTCTTCTGACCATCGGTATTGATTAGATACCAGTCAACCTCCAGTATGAACCAACCAGTTGTCGATCATTCACTGTTCGTGTTAGCTTTAGAACCGACATTTTAATTCAAAACATTTCTTATGTTTTGTTTTGTAGTTTATTGTTTTATTTTTATGGAATTCATTCATTCAGGCCAACTCACACAATGGAGCCGCTACATTCCTGGACCCAATGGAGCAACAAATTTCACTAGGCGATAATCGCAAAAGAGAATCTGGACATCGATAATCTTAGCGGACAAGAGGTCCCAGAAACTCAGATTCTCATTTTGGAACACGCAACAGGAAGTAATCTGGACACAAATGAGCAAGTCGGGAAACAAGAAATCAGAACGCGATAAAAATCTACGAAGCGCCGAAGAAAAGCGGGTCAGCGAAGACAAGAAAAAAATTTAACGGACTACTAAAAATTATAGAAACAAGGGGGAGCTACAAAAATAACCCGGTCAATTTTTAATTTGTGTAGTATTTTTGATTTTAATGTTGTCATCAAAGATCAGTGTTTTGACAACATAAAACTAGGCAAGGCATTTACTTTTTCTTAAAACTTAATATATAAAAATCTGATGTTTTCTAAAAAAAAATACCAAATATCTTTCCGAATCCTAATAATCTCCTGAATAACGAGTTTTTGCTAATTGCAATAACGTGGGGGATTGCTAAAATGTTTGTGAACCTTTGACTGTTTGTGACCTTTGATGTACCGCCTCAACTCCGCCTGTTAACTCTCTTGAGAAGGCAGCCGGTCCCAAGCCCGGATAAAGGAGGAGGGTTGGGGCGTGGCGAGCCCTGTAAAACCAGCCAAGAACCCACATTATGAAAGTCCCAAAATCCCTTGAAAACCATGGATTTCACATTGCCTGCAATCCCTTGAAAACCATGGAGTTCACATTGCCTGCCTTCAGGAAACTAGAATTTCCGGAGACAACACGCATAACACCAAAAACTACAAAGTATACACCAGTGGGTATGACGACAACCGAGGCATCCACGGAGTTGGTATCGCAATCGACAAGAAACTCAGCAGCTCCGTGCAATCATGGAAAGCAACCAGCCCCAGAGTTTGCTCCGCCCGCATCTTTGCTAAACCCTACCCATTATCCATTATATGTGGATATGCGCCGACTGAGGACGCAGAAGCTCTCGACAAAGATGAGTTTTACCGAACACTACAAAAGACTCTTGAAAAATGCCCCAACGGTGATGTAATTATCTTAGCGGGAGATCTAAATGCCAGCCTAGGACAGGCATACCCCGCGGAACAACAACACATAGGTCGTTTCATAAAAACATCGAAACGAAACGACAATGGAGAACGCCTCGCTATGTTTGCAGCTACGAACGACCTGGCAATTGCAAACGCGATGTACCAGAAGAAGAACCACCAGCTATATACCTGGATATCACGCGACAGACGAACCCGGAACCAGATAGACTTCATCCTGATCAAGAGGAGATGGCGCACAGCGATCAACGATATCAGAGCAAGAAGTGACAAGATTTGGATCGACAGCGACCATAGAATGGTGAAATGCAATCTGAAGACGAAACTTCGTACATATGTCAAAACCCATAGAACAGTTAGACTCAACCTCGATGGGCTCCAACATACAGGTACTTCCAGGAAATACTGTACGGCCCTTTGTTCAGTAACCGAATCTACCAGCAACGTGAACCAGAAATGGGAAATCCTAAGAGACAGTATGATATCATCGGCGAAAAAGAATCTGGGAATCTCGTGCACCGTAAGGAAACCTTGGATATCTGATGAAACCCTCAAAGCCATCAGAACACGTGAAAACCTCAAGGCTAAGGGCGCTGAACTCTCGAAAATAGCTGCGCAACGAAAGCTGGTGAAAAAACTCATCCGAAAAGACAAGAACTGCTACCTCGACATGAAATCGGATCAAATTGAGGACGCCAATGAAAGAGGACACACTAGAGAGATGTACCGCCTCATTCGGACTTTGAGTGGTGCCAAATCGAGTAGTTCACAAACAGTCAAAGGTCTCGATGGCCAACAAATCAGCGATAGCAAGGAAGTCATGCAACGATGGGCAACTCACTTCTGCCAACTTCTGAATGCTGACAACAGCCCGGCCCAACTGCCCAAGGTCGTCTCGAGTACTGGAGTCTTTACGGATATAGATCAGGGAGAGCCGCTAAGAAGTGAGATTGAGGTTGCACTAGCAAGCCTCCATAACCACAGAGCTGGCGGGTGCGACCACATCCCACCAGAACTGTTCAAAAAAGGAGGTGAGAGAATAGTACTTCTTCTGAAAGACCTCTTCAAAAATATATGGAGAGAAGAGGCAGTCCCAGATGAATGGCGAACGTCAATACTCCTGCCGTTTCATAAAAAAGGTGACAAACTAGTGTGCAGCAACTATAGAGGAATATCTCTGCTCTGCATTGGTTTAAAAATCCTGGAAGCTATACTACTCGCACGTTTTGACGACCTCTACGACTCATACGCGAGAGATAATCAAGCCGGCTTTAAGAAGGGAAGAGGTTGTAGAGATCAAGTTTTCGCCCTACGACAGATAATCGAGCAGCGAAGTGAGTACAATATACCCACAGTGATGGTCTTCATAGATTTCAAAGCTGCCTTTGACAGCGTCAAGAGAGATGCCATATGGAAGATCCTGGAAGATCACGGAATGCCAGACAAGCTGCTTAGGATTCTCAGGAACATGTATTCACAGTCCAACAGCATCGTGCGAAGAAACGACAACCTATCAGAGGCGTTCCACGTGGAAACAGGAGTCCGCCAGGGTGGCGTCCTGTCACCCTTCCTGTTCAACATCCTCATTGATCGGATCCTGAACGTCGCCACAGATAACACGAATCTAGGTATCCGGCTAGAAACCAGTATTACTGACCTGGACTATGCAGATGACATTTGCCTGCTAGAGGACAATCCAGATGACGCCCAGAACTTACTGAATCGAGTAGTTGACGCCGCAAAATTGGTAGGACTCCAACTGAACGAGTCCAAGACTAAGTGCATGTTCTCCTGTTGCGAGCCAACGGTGCTATTTTGTAATGGTGTTAAGCTAGAAAACGTCACTGAGTTCGACTACCTAGGAAGCCGCATCACCTGTAACGGAGACATTACCCCAGAAGTTCAGCACAGAATAGCCAGCGCGACTAGAAATGCTGCGCAGCTGAAGAAATTCTGGAGTAACAGAAACATAACCACCAGGACCAAAAGCAAAGTGTACAAAGCATGCGTAAGAAGTGCTCTCCTATACGGCGCAGAAACATGGCCGGTTAAGAAAGGGGACCTGGCCAGGTTGTCCTCATTCGAAACTAGGTGTGCACGGCGATTTGTCTACAATGGATTCGAAATAGCTACCCAGGAACTGCTTCGCAAAGCACAACTTGACTCACCTATGGACTATGTGCTGAGGCGTATGCGACTGAAGTGGTGTGGACATGTGTTCAGAATGCCGGATGAGAGAGTGACGAAGGAGGCACTGTTCTTCGAGAAGGCGCCCACTTGGAAAAGACCAAGAGGTGGGGTCAGAAGAACATGGAGATCAACAGTCGCTGCTGACCTCGAACGTGTTCTGAAACCACCGAACATGAGGGCAGACAAGTGGAGATTGTGCTGGAAAGATGCCTGCATGGAGGCAGCCCTGGACAGAAAGCGATGGCGTGCGATAGTTCGGGACTCAATATGTGGCTGACAATGGGCAGTAGTGCCTTAGTCATGATGATGATGATCTGATGGATTTGTATAAGTCTGAGAAAACCATTGAAATTCCCGACTTAACCCCCCCCCCAAGTCAAGACGAATTTATTCACAAGGGACAGGACCAACTTACGAGATGTTCAACTCTACACGGAGAACCGCTGTTATTCCATGCTCAAGAATTACATGCACTTTTATTGTTTATTTTTCTAGGCTGGGTAATTTTACCTCACCCTCAAGCAACTAGCACGGATCATGGTGGGCCTCGAACAGCCTACCATTTGACTGAGAGGCGGAGACGTTACCACTTCATCACCACTCTTATAACCGCACCCTTTTATTTAATTTTTATTTTAACCAGTACCATCTGTTCTATCTGTTGGATGCGACTGGCCATCTGCTGCACACTCTGGCTGGCACTCCTCACCCCCTGGTCCACCTGGCTCCTCTCAGCCAGCTCTTTGCTGTAGTTCTCCTCCAGTCGTCTCACTGTCACTCTCATCTCATTCTGCAGACGGACCACCTCCTCGAGAACTGTCTTGTTGCTCTGCTCCGCCGCCACTAAACACGCCAAATCTTTCATTAATCATGCCTTAAAGATAACTTTTTTGTCATTGAGAAATAAAAAGGCTATTTAGTTTTTGAAAACGAAACAATCACATTATCAGAACTTCATTAAAAATAGCCGACAGACAGTAGGAAAAGAGCCAAAAAAGTCAAAAAAAAACAAAAAGAAAAACTGACTTGTTTTTTTTTTTGAAAAAACTTCGTCTTTATAATTTCATAGCAAAATATATATGGCTTTACAGCTCTTTGTATTGCAAGAACATTTTTTTAGCTGGAATTTTTTGGTAAAATTTACTCAAATTGAGAAAACTGGATCAATAGGTAAAATTTATTTCACTGGGTAATCTGACAATAAAATTCCACTTTCGAAACTAGAAGTTGATCAAGTTTTTCGTGACCTTTACACTTTCATACTTACCTTCAGAGCAAAACTTACCTTAATTTTTAGCAGAAGAAATTGAATTGAACTCAAATAGTGCTTACATAGAAGCATCCATTCTTGTTATATATGCTACCTAGAAGCATATATATCTAGAAGAATGTTAAACACAGAAGCTTCGCACAACTTGCGACACGAAACTAAAAACAATACTTTGAATGTAGACAAATATTCTGTCTCATACGAAAAGTGAAATAAATAAATGAGGTCTAATAAAAAAAATTGTTGGCTGAAAGTTTTTTTTTTTTTGCGTTTATTATTAAAAACAAATACCTAAGCATAAGTAACTACCAAAAATTCTCTACAAACTACAACAAAAAACTGCATGAACTACATAAAAGTCTGAACTACGTTCCTCATCACTTAATCAGAAACTCAGATCAGTAATCCAGTTATCTTTATCTAAAAAGCCGCAAATATAGTAAAACAAAAAACACTTTTGAATTTTTTTTTAAAGTTTAACTGTAATTATTGCCCCCCTATAGTATCTGATAGCAATTTGCCATCATTATAAAGAGCTGACTTAGTGGTTAAACATGCGTCACATCTGTACCCATTAACGAAGGTACCTCATTCATTGCAATTGAGAGGACTAAAAATTGTAAAACAAAACCTTTTTTTTCTCTTAACTTATTGCTAGCTAAAACTGCGCAAATTGCTATTCAATTTGCATAGCATCAGGTGATGCAAATTTTAAAGTTTCTAATTGTTAGAGAAAAACTTCATGAGATTTTATTTTGTTTATTGAAGTTAAGTCGCCGGTAAAGTTGGACAGTTGCTTTTCGAGAGTTTTAGATGCTCTGGGAATTGCTAAAAGTTTATAATCATGATACCATGTTGTCAATTTTTGAGCATTGTGTTAAAATGATATCCAACTAATCGTTGCTGCGTTAACTTGGACGGAAAGAACTCGGCCAAAATTATTTCAAGGCAACCAGTCACTTTTCGAACCCAGTGAAGCAATATATTTTGAACAAAATGTATGCAAATCAATTAGTGATCTGGAAAAATTTTTCGTCGAAGTGGTATTTTGAGATGATAGTTTTTATTCCAAACATTGGAAACTGAAAGTAATTTTAGATTCGCCAGTATTTTCATTATTTTTTTTTCCACAGAGAAGCACAACAGATCAACAAGGACAAATTATAGCAGTATCAACCGTGATTCGAACGACTACAAAAAACTTTTAAAAAATCTTAATGTAGAGCAAAAACTGGTTTGAAATTTTTTAGCATTACGAGATCAAACTGTGCATTTTGCGCATTGTAAGCGGATTTCGCGACAAGGACGCTCCCTTTGTTCTTCTTTTGTTCCTTCATTTTCTTTGATCGTTCCGACAAAATTTAAACATGTTTAAAGACTTGTCTCTGGAATCCAGGAACATACAGACACAAAATTGTGCTCCTATCCAGTGCAGAGTTTGGCCTCGTAATGGGTTTCAGTCTAACTTTAGGCTGAGAAAACTTTAGATTAAGAAAATGGATTTTCCGAATACGATAATTTTAAAACGCTAACTAGTGAAAAAAAGTTTCCAAAAATATATACAAAATTTTGCGAGGAAAAAGTTTTGAAAAACAATTTTTTTTTCTGTTATTAAGTGGTTATTCATTTTTTTGGATAAATGCAGTATTTCAATGATTTTCTACTCATTTGTATAGTATGTATAAACAACGACTTCAATTTGAAAAAAGAAAAAAAAACCTTCTTTTGTAGTTTTTATGAATTTAGTCGGATCATTCTGTGCTACTCGCACATCAATCCTCTATCATTGTTATTTTTTTTCTCTTCTTTTTGTTTTCCACGCATTTTTGTTGTAAAAATAATCAGCGGAATGATTCGAACGACATTGAATTTAGTATTTCTAGAATTTAGTATTTCTTAGAATTTAGATTTAGAATTTCGAGCAAGTACAGCAATCAGTTTACGCTTGTTTTTTTTAAAAAATGATCTTTTAGGCTGCACAAGTTTGATTTCATTAAGAGATTATCAAGATATTATGCAAAAATATGGAACTGTTTACGGAAGTGGTTGGACTAGTCTGTGCTACTCGCACAGAAAAAGGTTATTATTTCTACAAATATGTGTTTTCTGTTCTATCGTGTCATCTCCTAAAACTAAGCATCCAGACACCAAGCACGAACGCAAGATAAAAGTTGCTCAAAACGTGTACTAAAGATTTCAAGAGTTGGAATTAAATCTCTGATGAGGCCATTGATTCAGATGCTATTTACTGTCCAGCAAAAGTAATTAGAAATAGTAAATTACTCATCCAAAAAGTTTGAAACATTGATTCAAATTTTGGGAAAAAAAAAACAGAAGATAGGAATATCTTTTATGCTAAATTTTTTAAAGAATCTTTTTTACTTCTGCCGAAAAACGGCAGGGAAGGCAAATTTCAAAAACGGCGGGGAATGCATATCACATCTCAGTATAATATTTATAAAAACTTCTACACAAAATTACAAAGAACTACCATTACCAAAAAGAATAAAGATCAAATGGTTATCAAGGCTTGGAGTAGTAGACACTTGAAAACATGCTAGCTATTACTCTGATGGTGATCGATGTTATTCTTAAAAAGTTTTTTATTCTACTTTTGATTGTTTAGTGACCTCATTTGGACAAATTTTATAATGAAAAGAAATTATGAAAAGAATGGAAGCACCAGTTATTTTCAACAAAACTTCCAACTTTTTCAGCCCATGAAAAAACGAATTGCAGAAAAATTTGATTAAAACAATGAATCTAATAATATACTGAGCTAAACTTAAAGAGATTTTATATCTATTTTTTTTTATTTTAAGCTAACACATCAGCTTTCAACCAATTAATCAGTTGTGGATATTGTTACAGAACTTACGGCCTACACTTTGTTCAATTTACAGAATTCATTTTTGCGCAATCTCTTTTTACGAAGAAGCTTCCAAAACTTGCATTTTATAGTTTAAACTGCGCAATTTACAGCACTTAATTCAAAACTTAATTTATGACAGAAATCAGAATTACGTCAACAGAAGTCATCTTTGGAATTTGCTGATATAAGTGTGAGTGTTCATTGCTCGTAATTTGAAAAAAAAGTTGACAAAATCTGTGTTAGTTCTTCAACTTAGTCTTTTCAAACAACACAAACACAAAAGGCAGCTAAAGATTTTTAAAAAAATTGCCCTGATAGTAGCAATTTTGTTTCATTTTCAAAGACATTTGCCAGAACAAAATTTGTTTCTGGTCAAATAATGCATTTAGGGTAAACTTTTTTTTGTTGAAAAAAAAAAGAATCAAGCTAAAAGCCAATCTTAAATAGTCACATCGAAAATATATTTCAAAAAATGAAAATCTCCTTTTGACTGAGCTTAAGACGATCGCAATACTGTTAGATGCATTTACAGAATCAAAAGTCATTCTAGCTTGTTTTGGTCTGAACATAAAAATGATAAGTAAGGGAAATAATAAAATTTTGATCCAGTTTTTGTGTTTAATTGCTACAGAGAGAGGCGAAGTTTCACTTCGCATACACAAGCAAAAATGACCGATAACGCTACAGGGAAAAATTGAATGGGCAAAGCTTTGAGTCTACAAATTTTCTTAAGTGACGCGTGCCAATTATGAGTCTACATACTTGCTAAGTGGCGCAAGCCAATTATGACGCATTAGCAGTACCAGTGAATTTGAACAAAAAATGAACTTACCAACTAACATGCAGAATTTATAGAGCGGACGCATTTTAGCTAGTATACGAAAAAGTTCATTAAATCATCCGACCCTGCCCAGGTTCGAACTTTCTTATGGTGTTGCGGGTCTCCGTCCCTACCTCTACGCTACAGATCCATGTTACCTGGCAGCAAAGTGCTATTTGTGTTAATAAATTAGTCTGTATTAATATTCTTAGCGTTGGCTGTACTTAATAGCTGAATATTGATTAAAATGAAAACTTTCAAAATGAACGCATCTTGTCGCAACAATATTTGCGACTTAGGTTGGAAAAAAAGGAGAGTTCATACTATAACACAAGCTTTGCTTGTGTAATTAGTCTGTTGGGAAGCAATATTCTAAAGTAGATTAAAAATATTAAACACACCCTTAGTCTTAAAGCTAGAAAGAAAGAAGATACAAACTCACTCAGTCTCATTTCAAGTGCTCTCACTCGATTCGAGTCTTCCATCATTTGACCCCCATATTGACCCAATTTCCCTCCCATTGCACCCTGGTTGAAAGGCACCAGAGCATTACTTGTACCACTGAATGTACAAGTATGGAAGATGGGTTCATTATAAAAATTTGATTCAAAATTTAGGGTCGTTTTTGTTCAAATTACCCCATGATCATTTTTATTCCCAATTTTTTTGCCGAAATAGACCTTTTTTTTACCAAAAAAAACATTGATATCGTTCGCGTAAAAAAGAAGTTCTAAGGCAGAGTTAATATAAGGGATTAAATATACACAAATCTTATTGCGTAAAAAAACGCGTTTTCTCAATAAGACCATTTAAACTATCCACTACGTGTGCCGTTCTGAGAACTTTTCATAATTATTTAAATTTCATGGACCCGCGTTTTCTTACATATTATTGTTTGGGATCCATCTATCATACTTGTACCCGCTAGAGTTCATAAATGGGACACTCATTGTAGCTTTATTTCCTCCAAAGTTTACTCCGTAATTTCCTTTGGGTGAGTAAATATTGGGTTCACCCTGACTCGCAAATATCTGGGGGAGTGTGTCGTATTTCGGGTAACTAAGAGACGCCATTGATTTGATTGGAATCAAAAAGTAAAATAAAATGGAAATAAAATTTATTGAAATGTTTTTATGATATAATATAAATAACTATTCAAACAGAATTTGAAAAAGGTAAATAAAGCAGTCGCATAAATCGTTGGACTTGGTTGCAAAAAATTAGCAATTATTTTTGATAATAATCATAATAATAATACTTCATATCAGCGAATACGCAATGAATTCAGTTGAAATTTCTGGAAGTATCTGAAGTTCAAAAAATTCAATAAGGCATGACAGTCAAAATTGAACTCCACCATTTTCGACAAGCAGCGAAACTGATATACTTTTTTTCCAGCAAAAATCAGATATGAGACACAAATAGATTAATTTCAAATCCAGTGTTCTGCATCAAATATAATAAGCAAGTAAATGAATATGCTCAAAAAGTATATGCTTACTACAGATGGATTGAGTAAAAAATGTATTTACTGTTCATTTTTTCTGCAGTGCTTTAAACGAAAACAATCAAATATTTATTTGATTTCTTTCACATAAAAACGCACCATTCAAAGCAAAAAACGTGCAAGGTTGGCGTATGTTATTGGTATATTCGATGTACACTTAAAATATTATAGTTTTGATGATATAAATCTTTCATTAACGAAAAAACCAAAACGTTGTATTCAAAACAAACCAACTAAAACGTATATTCACTTAATTCAAGATTGAAAATCATAAACTTCAATTAATGATTTAAAAATTAACATTTTGGTATAAAAAGCAGAAAGAAACAGAAATAATTGTTAAGTGAAATTTTGAGTCACCAATTTAAAAAATCTAAGTATTAATCTTTCATTTCAATTCCTTACTCTCGAAAAAAGTTGTCTCGCTGCTGACATCAATCAATGATAGATCCTTATTAAAATATTATCAATTGATCATTTTGATTTCTATCCCATAAATCTGTGTGGTTGTTACATAATAATAAAGGTTTCATTAATACACTTGGCTGCCATCAATTATTTGCAATTCTCCGTTCATTAATTAGCGAATTCTTTTTATTATTTACTAAGATTCCGTTACTTGATTGGTTAATTAGTGCTTAAGTGGTTATCAAGGTTGACTAATCATGGACTTGTCATTGGTGCCTGGCTCTCACGAGTTCTCTTCGTTCACCAATGCGACTCGGGTGACTCCGAGAGAGAAACAGCCGAAGAGTTACATGTTCATACTCGACACTCCAGACCAGTCGGAGCACGAAGGATCAGTCAAGGTGAGATTGATTTTTTTTAAAAAGAAAAAACAACGTTTAAAAAATTTGCAGGAGTCACAGTAACTCGCACTACTCACCTATCACCCCCACCCCCACCCCCAACCCCCCTCTCTCTCCATCTCCAGAGATCCGCAGCAGCACCAGGGAGCGGATCTAGCTTTTTTCAAGGAGGGCAACCTTTCGAAAAAAAAATCCGAAAAATTTGTTGACCTTCTTAGGTCGATCAAATTGACTTCCATAGCTCTCCAAAAACACCAAAAATACCGTTTTCAAAAAAGCGGTTGAATTCCTCAGCCCCTTCCCCCTAAATCAGCCCCCTGAACTTAACAAAGATTTTAGTTTTTTTATATGCAACATTTGATCAGCATTCGCAATTGGCACGATGGGTGAGTCTTGTAATAAATCATTTTGCTGGGCGTGACATATAAAAGGATTCAAATTTTCACGGCAACTTTTCACGGCGATAAGGCATTTTGGAGAAAAAAACTTAGTTTGCGGTTAAATCTGTCAGCTAGTGTATGTTTTGTAATTTGCAGGGACGTCTGGAAACGGACCAGAAGGTCTCATGACTATCTATCAGGCTATTGTTTAATGGTTGTAAATGCGGTTTATAACAAGCATTACTAGTATACTAGCCTGAAAACAATTTATTATTATTAGATTAATTTCAGGACTCTGACTCTGACTTGAGCGAGACCCAAAAGCAGGCGCAGCAGTTGATCCAGCAGTGGAGTGAGGCCCAGTTCGAGATAGACCAGAGAGACAGGGGCAAAAAGAGGGGGGAGTTGGTGGACAGGTATCACAGACAGTACTTGGAGGCACTGCAGAAACAGGAAGCTAGAGAAGGTGGGAAATATGATTTCATGATATACAAACGGGAAAAAAGACCCCCCTCTCACCTGTAAATTTTTACCAGCCAGACTTTTGTTCGCATAATGCGATTGTTTTTGAAACTTGACGGGATGGCTAATAAGCTTATGACAAACATATTTGCTCTTCATACTAAACCTTGTAAAAACAGTCATACTCATTTACATCATAAAATTGACGCTCATGTGAGGTGAGGGGGGTTCGGAGGAAAAAATCAGAAACTTTTCAACTGTTAAAACTCAGTTTGAAATGTAATTCACGACCACCAGCATCATCATGAGTTTAATTTAAAGGTAGGCCTGAATATCAGTCCGTAACATTTTGTTCTTCTTCATAAAAACTTCAGACTACATATCGTAGCAAACGACGATTCATAATTCGGCTTGTTACGAACTGTGGAATCCGCTGTGAAATTTTTTACTGCAAGCTTCAAAGCATATACTGTCCAATACATCAAGCGGGGTAACATGAATGAAAAAGACTTCTCGGACGACACTTCATGTACCTTGGATGCATCTAAAGTTTGAAACGCCTTGAGTTATGAAAAGTTGAAACTCAACTTGAAACGCTTAATTGGGAAAACACACCGGAAAACGCAAAAAAAAACATTAATAAGGGTCTTTTTGGAAAACTTTGACTCCACTGGAGTTGAAACTACAGCGATAGATAATTCCGGTAGCCTTCCTCTGGATGCTTTCATCCAGACGCTACTTACAACTGATTCATTTGATTGTCGTTTTTATTTTAGTCATCAATCCCATCATTGAATGCGAACATTGCGTGGAAGAGCTCAAATCCGACAGGCCGAAAGAGTACTTAGCCGACTACTTGGACATGATCAAACAGGACAGATCAGGAACTAAGAGCCAATCAGAGAAGAGCAAAGTGGAGGATGTGAAATCATTAGATGAGATCACGTGTCATATGCAGGCTACAATCGAGGAGCATGAAGACAAGTTGAGGAAGCTGGAACAAAGGCTGAAGGAACTCAGTGCTGGGTATTTTTTCAGCTCTCTCAACAAAATTTTGCGTTTAAATCCATAGTAGTTTTGCGTTTAAATCCAAAAGAGTAAAAACTATAATTATGTCACCTCATTAACCAATTTAGTTTCAATTGTTGTTACTCATTTGAGCTAGCTTAACTTTTTTGACCAAGTAGCAAACACAGATAAATCGCATTGGATCGAACAGTTTTTGATTCTTTCGCACAAGTTTATTTGCCGCTTGTTAGCTTTTTTTTCTTGTTTTAGGCGGGATCAATCGTACGAAATTGAGCAGGTAATTATTTTCAACCACTATATTGAATTTCTGATTATTTTTTTTTGCGAATTTTATCATCACAACTAAACCATGTTTTTAGAATCTAGGAGGTGCTGAAAATGCTACGTTTGACGTCAGCAACAGCTACTCGTCTCTTTCGAAAGTGAATTCCGAGAAATATGGACCATCATCCCGGTCCAATCAACTGTCAAAAGGCATCAATTTATTTCATGAGTCGGATGTACTAAAAATTTTCTAATGAAGGTTCTTTATTATGTTTCAAAAACAGCGACCTTGAACGAAAAATTTATTCTATAATAGAAACATTTAACTGACCTCCCGCAATTTTCAATACCAAAACTTTTGCTTTGTACAATGTGTATACGAGAGCGAATTTTTTGGCCAAAAACTAAATTGATGTCTTGAAAAGGTCCTAGCAACTTCCAACACATCTCAGCAGAAAGCCAACAGGGGTTATCACTTGACCTTGAAAAAGGGGAGGAGTCAAACAGGTTCCTGGTGACAGATGATTGGCTGAAATTTGGGGTCGCAGATACAGAAGAACAACAACTCGAAATTGACGAGAGGGACTTTCGAGGTATGAGATCAGTTTTCTAGTGGCTTTTCATTTTGCTCTTAATATTTTAGGCAAATAATTTAAGAATTGAATTGCGCTTGTTGAAATAAAACTCGACTTAATTCAGCAACGACGAAAAGACATGGTTGTACATCGAGGACTTTGCTACTTCATTCATAAAAATGAACCTCTCGTCAAGGGCTTAAGTGTTCATGCCTGAAAAACCCAACAATTTTTCTGCAGGAGAATTTAGTGCCAATATACACCTTATTATCAGAAGCTGACAAACGCATTACTTACAAAAAACTCATGTACCTGTGTCTGAAAAGTTCGCATTTAGCCCTAAAGATTGATCGGATGCGCGCGAATTTAAAACGAAATTACGCTGAAACTACTGGGTCAATACTGAAAAACTATGGCAAAGTGAGCGTTTACTTATCTCCTTATCTCAACAAAAGTTAAGATGGGTATAATCTACAAAAAACTAGTACTACTACTACTACTAAATTACTTTCATTTTGATAGACAAAACAAGTCATTTTTACTATATAAAACACCAATTTATCTTTTGCAAACTATTTTTAAGCGTTTAGCTCAACTTGTTTTGGAGAGTGTATCCTTCTTGATATTTGATGGGCCACTTAAGAGGCTCACCTTGACATAGTTTTATTGATAATTGAAACCGTAATTTTATCGTAATTTTTGATTGACTTGAACAAGCCAAAAATGATCCATTTTTGAGGTAAAATTTGGAGCCCGATATTCACCATATTATTCCCGTTAAAAGTCTAAACAAGTTCGTTTTCATCATTTTTCACCAAAGTCAACCCAATTTGAGAAAAACACGTTTTAAATATCAAGTTTAATACTTTTTGTCCGGATAATTTTAAACCATCATTGTAATGTCCCCTACTATTGTGATTGCCATGAGCTGGCGGGAATGCGCAACTAATCTCTTTTAACTTCTCTTATACAGTCATTAAAACATCAGGTTTTATATCGACATCAAAATGACTTTTATTTTCTATTGCAACTCGAATAACGACTGATTGAAAAAACTATAGAACTATTTATAATTCGAAATCATCGTACCTTGATTAGTGGTACCGGTATTTGTGATCAATTAATAGTTATTATTCCGATCAACAAAGGCGTGTAGAATTTTGACTTCCGCTGTGAATTTTTCGGATTCGCAACTTCCTTAAATTAATAAGCTTAATTGGTGGCTTGCGTCAAAATATTTCAAAAACGAAAATTTCACTTCAAACAGACATTCTCGTGACTTTCTAAATTTGTTTATAGCAGCTCGGATCACAGATGCAATAACTTCAATATCATATTAAATTCAACCAATTCACGTTGATTGTTCAATCACGGAGACCGATGACCTTTTCTAAATTTCCGTTCGTTTAATAGAAAAAAATCACAAGCTCTAACAATTTCAAAAAAGTCTTAATTGGCATTTTCTTTTGAAACTCAACCGTTTAAGTCGTGATTCAGACTCCAAAAAACTTTGAAAGCTTGACGCTTAAGACTTGTAAAAATTTTTAAAGTCGATGAATGCAGGGCATAATGATTTTTTGTGATGATTTTTCCCTATGATTATTTAGGTCGAAAGAATTTGTGCATTCTCAAATTATCTTTTTCGCTGTTTGGCTTTTGATTTATTTTCAAGTTCAGTTCATTTCCTTTGTTTAAACGAACGCAAGCTCTACAGCGAAAGTCAACAGCAAAATTCAAAAAGTCACGAAAAACGCTATCGACTTCTAAATTCGAAAATCATTTTTAATTACCAGCGAAATAAAAAAAATACCTATAGAGCCAATTTTTTTTTCAAATTTGGTTTAATTAATCAAAAAAGTGTCAATCATAAATGGTTCTAGAAATTCGAAGATCTTTGAGGCCATCTATTTTTCTCTGTGAAATTCCATATTCCATAGTTGATTTTTTTTCGAAAACCAGTCACTCTTTCTTTTCTGCTTACTTGTGCTCATTGACTCTTTTTCAACTGTCGAATGGCTATGTTTAAGCTCTTATTGATTGACCAACCAAACAATAACGCAAATAGAAAGAAATATGATTTAATTTTTTTTTTAATCTTCGGCTCTTTTTGTTAAAGGGCGAATGGATCAGTTTAAACAACTGCGAAATTTAAATTAATAAGAGCTTAAACATAGCCATTGTACAGTTGGAATTCGCAGTTATTTAACCTGGTCCATTCGCCCTTTAACAAAAAGAGCCAAAGATTTAGAAAAAAAATCATATACTTGAATCATTTTTCTATTTGCGTTATTGTTTGGTTGGTTTTCTACGCCCCAACTGTCGAACTATTCTACCACACATGCACAGTAACAAACTATTCTAATTGTTCCGACTTTCGATACGAAAGTAACGGAATATTTATGCTCGGGGTGAGTTTTTTTTCTTCAGACAAATTTCGACTTTTTAACTAGCCATTTTTGACGGATTTTTTTTTATATCATTCGAAAGGTATAGTTGTCCTGAGCTTAAATTTGAAAAGATATTTCACTTGTGATCTTTTTTCGGAATGTTATGAGGGTTTAAAATTGGTCAAAATGGCAAATTAACGCGCAATATAATTCGCGCTATTAACGCGTAAGCGGAGATTTAATCCGTCTTAGAAATCGTTCGAAATTGGTTGAAAGAAGCTTTTTTTGCCATAATTGATTGTTACAAGGAGCGAAATCTATTGTTTTGTACTTAACATGGCGTGTGGGGGGAAGATTTTCATTTAAAAAAATTTGAATTTAAAAAAAAAAATTTCATTGTTTTTTTTTATTTCATTTAATTTTTTTTTAATGTTATTACTGTTCCATAAACATTAAAAGGCGGTCGGAACATTCAGGGCTTCGCCCTGGTACGAGCAGTCTTGTTTTATTTCATATCATTTCGAAACATGATTTTACTCAGACAAAAAGCCAGCATAAAAATAGAGATGTTTATGTTACATTCTTTAAAGACTCTTATTTCTAAACTTACCAACTCTAAGACTTGAATTTGGAAAAATTTCCTGATCGGAATTTTGCAAATTCGATTTTTCAAGTCTCAGCTTGCTTACCGTTGTTTCAGTGAAAAATTTAAGTGAAATTATGTCACCCGTCGGAATTTTTTCATTTTTAGCCACTTGGAAAAATACCTATTTCAGACAAGCATTTTTACGCCACTTGAAACAGACGAACAAAACTTCTGTGTATGGGTTCATGTACGTAGCAATAGTAAACAAAAATTATGCAAATAAATTTTAATTTCAACAGCAACCATAATTTAATTCTTTTTTTTACATAAAATAAACCCATTTGTACATTTATTCAAGGCAGTCTAAACTACTAAGATAGTATCACCTCAAGTTCCTACGAAAGCTTTATATGATAGGTTGAGTTTAAGAAGGTTCAGTCAAGTTCAGAAGCCATTTTTAGACTTTTGATAGAAAACTCCTTCCCTTTTCAGCCGAACGGAACAAAATGAATATACATGCATAACAGCAGTAAACGTGTAATTCATTCTCAGTAACCAATGACGGACGAATATACAATAAATTTCCAATTTAAAAATAACAAATTTGATACTTGATACTTTGTTGAGAAAGTAAGCTGAATTAAGGCTATTTCTTTTCATGATCAGCTGTTTTTATGATAGAATTTTGATGCACATTTTAGTGAGAGATGAAAGTGAATGCAAAAATTTTATCGATCCAATGCACTCAAAATAGTCAGAATATATAAGAAAATATTGATAATGTCGAGATAGAGATTGATAGCGGCGAAAATATACTCTTCTGGACTCAAACTGTATCGGTGTTTTCCGCCGATCATCATTTGGGTATCGATTACCAAATAAGCAGAAAATACCAACGCTCCCAAGGATCCATACACCGCTGTTAGTATGTCATTCGGGAAAATAATTGCTATAATTCCGAACACTATAAGACAAATAAGTACAACGAACATAAGCCCACTGTAGATTGTGAAGTCGATTTTGGTCTGAAACGCGAAAATAGTCAGCGAGACCGCTACTATTGCCGTCACTGTTATAGCAACGAGGACAATTTTAGTGTCGTATTGACTGGAAATAACCCCGAGGAGAAAACTTTCGCATAACGTGAACAAGCCGAGAAGTATAAAATTAGTCGGCGTTTGTCGTCTCAAGCTCTCGAAGCATACTAGCGCGATAAGAAGAACGAATGTAAGAATCATCGCAACTATAAGCATCCATGGTTGATCTTCGACGTACAAGCGAATGTCGTCGACAAAAACGAAAAGAGCTATGAAGCCTAAAGTAACTAGAAGTTGAACTGACAATATTGCATAGACTTTTCTGATAAATCCATGACGAATTGAAATTTCGTCGAAACTGAATTGACCGTCAATTAGAGGCGATTCGCTATCGTACATTTTTAATCTGCCAGAAATGTAACTCTTTGCAAAGGAAAGTGAGAAGAAAACTAAACTAAATTCGATCTGAAAAACAGAAGATATGGTTATTTTTGTAAAACGAATTAGATCAGACAGCACTAAAAAAGAAACAGATGTTCCACCATCTTTATTCTTTCTTTCAGTCAAATCAAAGATGTCAAATTGATTCAGACAGCTAAAATTTCAACTGAAGAACTATTACTTTGGAGCTTTTGTTCGCAATAAAACTCAACCATCAGTTTGAACACAGTTACGGAACATTATGTAGCAAACACAAGCATGAAACGGCAACAACAGAAAATCCTAGAATACAAAAATATGCAGCGAAAAAATCAACTTAGAAAATCAATATTAAAAAACTGACATTTTTTGACGAAGCGACTCAATTCACTGAGAACAATAAAATCGGCAATAAAGTGTCATAAATTCGGTTCTGAAACTAACATTTTTTTATTCGACAGAATTGATCACTCTCAGCTTAGCCATTAGGTCTCCAGATTACCGTTTTTTTGCGAAACTGATAAAAAAACAAAAGAAATAAATTTGTCAGCTTAATCTGAACTGGGTTTTGAAAAAGCTACACTAATTAACGCAGATATCCCGATGAAAACGGCAAGCATAACTGCTATAAATGCTATTTATAAGGTCAATTTTTTGTCTTTCTCAGGAATTGTCTACCTAATACCTACATTTCTGAGAAATCAAAACTCACATGTGATGCTTTTCGGATATTTCTGAGAAAACGTATGCCAGTAAGCAACGTATTTTACCATGTACGATTGAGACATGCCTCGTGCGAAGCTTACATCCAGCTTACATTATTCTACTTTACAAGTTATTCGAATAACACATAAAGTAGAATAATGTAAGCTGGATGTAAGCTTGGCACGAGAAAAAAGTACCCCATGAAGCTCCAGTGGAGAACACTTGCACTTGGAACTAAAAAGAAAATTCCTTACAGCACCAGCAAAATCCGTGATATGACAACTTAACGTGTAAAATTTAAGCGGACAAAGGAAAGACTGTCAATGTAATTTTTACCGAAAAAAATTAAATTGAATACATACTGAAAAAAGCAAGGTCCGACCGGGATACAAACCCCACACTTTAGGGTGCAAAGGCGACGGCATTACTCCTAGGCAAAGAGGGAAGGAACCTGGAGTTTTGGAGAAATTGTTGGATGGATCTTGCTTCGGACCCAGATGGACCGGAAATGGTTGTGCCACTGAAAAGCGTCCATCCTCCAGAACCTGACCTCTCAACATCACGACAAAACGCGAAAACCATTCAAACGAGTCCAGTGTTAAAACGACGTTCAAGTACCCCATCCCACCTCTCCCGTCGGGGCCGATAACATGGACTAGGGACGATACGAAACCACCAAACAAAACCGAAATAAACTAACACAATGTCGTCCAGAGTCAGCGAGGCTAGTATAACAACAAGGAGCCTGGAAGTTGTAAAGGTTCAATAATAAAGCAAAGTGAAAATTTGATATAATTGTGTACAGAAAAAGAAGTCTAGTCCCCTGATTACATGACACTTGCTCTCGCAAGTGTAACCAGGTATAAAAAACATAGCCAACTGACAGTTGGAAAAAGTAATGAACGCAAGTAAACAGTCAATCTCAACTTTTATATTTCCAAAAAAAACTGATGCATTTTGAGCTCTGAATTTTAAGAACAATTTAGGATTGCCGGTTTTTTGATAACATTAACCCAACTTGAGACAACTGGATCATTAGGTAAATTTTTATGCCTCTGGAATTCTAAAAAGTAAATTCCAATTTCGAATATGGAGTGCTATTTACGTAACTTTCAGCAGATGAATTTCAATTGAACTCAAAAAGTGCACAGATACCTAAGTGTATTCATTAATGCATTATTAAGTACGAATGCACATCTGTAGTGATTAGAGCATTTTAAGACTTTTTCCTGGAAACAACATCACCAAGACCTATATTATTCTTCAATACGTTCATTGCACTTCACACGAATGAGAAGTAATAACAACCAAAACAAACAAAAAACGATCGCAGTTAAAAGTGTCAGTAGTAGAATTTAGTTTTTCACAAAGTTAAGACTCCCAAATTCCGACTAAAGGTAAAAGCTCGGACCGACTTCTCTTGACACGGAAAGCTTTTTTTTTAATAGTCAATGAGCGTATTCCAGACACGTATGTAGGTCTTGATGATTTTCATGGCTGTTTTTTTTTGTCAAATTTGTTTTTTTTTGCGTGAGTTTTGATTTATTTTTAAGTTCAGTTCACTTTCTTTTTAAAAGAAGGACAAACTCCACTATCAAACAGCAAAAGTGTAAAAGTCGCAAAAAACGTGATCGACCTTTAACTTCGAAAATGGAATTTAATCATCAGATTTCCCAGCGAAAAAAAAATTACGTATGGATACAGTATTTTCAAATTGGGTTTATTTAAACAAAAAAGGTCAATCACAAATTATTCTAGAAAGTCATAGAGCTTTAAACCTATTTTTTTCTTCGAATTTTGAAAATTCAATGACTCTTCTCTAACTGTCTGTTGGCTATGTTCTGAGGTACAAGTCACGGCTGAAAAAATCTGAGACGCGAAAATAGTCAGCGAGATTGCTACTATTGCCGTCACTGTTATAGCAACGAGGACAATTTTTGTGTCGTATTGACTCGAAATAACGCCAAGGAGAAAACTTTCGCAGAACGTGAACAATCCGAGAAGTATAAAAATAGTCGGCATTTGTCGTCTCATGCTCTCGAAGCATACTAGCGCGATAAGAAGAACGAATGTAAGAATCATCGCAACTATAAACATCCATGGTTGATCTTCGACGTATAGGCGAATGTCGTCGACAAAAACGAAAAGAGCTATAAAGCCTAAAGTAACTAGAAGTTGAACTGACAATATTGCATAGACTTTTCTGATAAATCCATGTCGAATTGAAATTTCGTCGAAACTGAATTGGCCTTCAATGAGAGGCGATTCGCTATCATACATTTTTAAACTGATAGAATTGTAATTCTTAGCGCAGGGAAGTGAGAAGAAACCTAAACTACATTAGATCTAAAAAACAGCATATTGGTTAACTTTGTGATATTAATTAGATCGGACAGCATTAAGAAAGAAACAGATGGTCCACCCATCTTTATTTCAGTCAAATCAAACATGTCAATTTTATTCAGAAAGCCAAAATTGGCCATACTATTACTTAAGAGCTTTAATTCGCAATAAAATCCAATCATCAATTTGAACACAGTTGCCGAACTCAACTTTGCAAACACTAGCGTGAAGCGACAAAAAGGAGCTAAAACGGCTTTTAAAAGTCGGACATTAGTCAAGGAAGCGAGTCAAATCACCATACACGATTCGTCATAAACTCGGCTTTGAAACTACAAACGTTTATCTTCAACAGAATCGATACCTCTCAGCTTAGCCATTAGGCCTCCAGATTATCGTTTTTGTTTGTAAAATTGATCAGAAACAAACTCGTGAGCTTAATTTGAAATGGGTTGATAAAAAGCTTATTTTCATCTACATTGATGAACGCAAATATGCTGAACAGTTTCAGTGAAACCTAATTAGCCGACAATCTTCGAGCAGACACCATTTGAGCCCAAAAAATATTAAATTTGTATTTCAAAAAAGTTATAAGTGCCCCCTGAAACTCACCATGAAGAAGACTTCCACTTCTTGCTTACGAAAGTAGCTTACAGCACAAGCAAAAACGGCGATGAGACATCTGAGCCGACAAAACTTGAAGCATAGGTGAAGCTGTGCTTCGAAAACACTAACGAGAACACGACAAAAAAATTTCTTTATAAGCGAAATAAAAAATAGAAATAAGCCTCGAATTAGTAAAACTTTGCTACGTATCGGATTTGAAACTGCTACCTCGAGATTGGGAGTCTCACCTTTGCCCAATCGGCCACAAATGCTTAACAATCGACAAACACTAGTCACAAAAAAGCAGCTATATATGCTATTAAATTGTCCAGATTGAAACAAAAAAAATAGTTTTGATGGATCCATGAAGCCTTTCAATCATAACTTAAACTTATTGTAGTGGTGTTTTGTTTTCAAAAAAATTCTCATGAAGAGCACAGAGTTTTTGAATTGAGATGGTGTAATCAGTTGTCTGTCAAAATTGAGGCCTTTTATTCAGTCCATGTCAAAAACGTGGCGAAAATATCCATTCATTTCATTCGTTGAAAACAATGGTGCAAGTTGCAAAGTATGATGCTTTGATTGTGTTTATTTATGTTGGAGAAATTATATTCTTTCTTCTTAAAGAGTCATGAACGTTTGATACTTTGTTTGTTTCTTTTTCAGGAAAACGTCTTAAAATTTGTTCAGGCTCAAATTTGATTTAGAATTACATTAAATTTTCCTGAGCTGGGTAATGCTGCCTCACCCTCAAGCAACAAGCGCGGATCCATTGGAAACGTCAATGAAATGTCAAAGTAATTTTTTTCTCGGAAATTGGTTTACAAACTTTGAAAATTATACAGGTTTTTGAAGAGAGTCGATGAACGTAGTTCAGACTCTTATAATGGTCGCGATTATTTTTTATTGTTTTTTTCAGGCTCATTTTTTTTCGCGGCTTGAATTTTGATTTATTTTCAAGTTCAGGACTTTTCTTTTGTTTAAAGGAAGGCAAACTCCACTATCAAATAGCAAAAGTATAAAGGTCACGAAAAACGTGATCGACTTCTAGTTACGAAAATGAATTTAATATTCATATATTATCAGTACCATAATCTACCCCCTCAAGCTAAATAGAAGTTTTATTTTTTTTGATCCAGTTTTCTCAAATTGGGTTAATTTTGTTTAAAAAAACTCAATCATAAATTGTTCTAGAAATTAAAAGAGCTTAAAATTCATCTATTTTTTTTCTTCGAATTATGAGATTTTTAAAATAACTCAGTATTTTTTTCTGTTTACTTGCTTTCATTGACTCTTCTCCAACTGGCAAGGTTCGGAGTTAGAAAGCATGGCTACAAAGGCTTTGTACGATACTAATCATTACCCTTAAGCAACATTCTTTGAGGTAGTCGAAATTGGGCAAAAACAATAGTACCTTCTCACCCCTGTTTAAGAGCGTACAATTAAATTACTCTTTGAGTTTGCTTGAAAATTGACTGCATACCTATTTCGTTTTATCCTTACTGATTGCCTAGCAAAAAAAATGTTTAGATACTGATATCGATGATGAAGAAATCCCTCGACTGAGAAATGTCTTTCTGTCCAAATTAGTTTGGGACGACGATGGAGACCTCGCTAAACGCGTGGACCGACAGCTGATTCAATACCAGCGCATGGCATACAAGCCCAGAAACAGATGGTCTCATAAAATAACTGTCCCGCAGCCGTTCGAAATGACAATTAGAGAGTATACGAGACCTAAGAGTGAATCATACTCTTCGAAGAGGATTGCAAAATTTCTAGAAGAAAGGTATTGTAATTCAATCATTCCTGCATTCTACGGTTCCATAATAGTGTTAAGGGGAGATCCCAGATTGGGAACCCAAAACGAATAAATCGGGGCTATATACTAAGCTGAGATCCTGTTTTCGATCCACGAGAGCTGTATCGAAAACCGGATTTCTTTCGAGTTTAAAGCTTAAACGTGAACTCATGTTTCAGAAAAGAAGAAGAAAAAAGTCTAGGAGTTAAGCCAGTAGAAATTCCAAAGAGCACTATGCAGCCAAAGTTCCAACGCATCATGAGCCAGAAGAAGAAGCGAAGCATTGAGGTATCAGTAAAGTGATAATCAAAGCACAATTTTCAAAAAAAAGTTTTATATTAGAACACACATTGGTTTGAAAAGCGTAAAAACCTGTCGCTTCGTGTGAAATGTTTCCTAGTGATGGGTGAATTGTTTTATACGCCCAGCTAAATCTAAATAGGAAAATTCACTTCAGGAGCGTTCAGTTTTTTTCAGATACGGGAGAAGAGTCGAGAGAACTTGATACGCGACCAGAGGCCATTCTCATTCTACAATCGATCCGAAACTTCAACATCTGCTGACTGCTCGAACAGACATTGTAAATGTTTGGAGCCTGCGGATGATTCATACCTGTAAAAAGTCACATTTACTAATTTACGTTTTATCTTTGGTAAAATCTTTGAACAACGGAGATAAAAACTCATTCCTTCTGAGCAAACTACTATTTTTTTCAGAAATTATCATGATAAACAGGTTACTACACTCATCCTTCATCATTTAACCGAGTAAAAAAAATCTTGGAATTTCATAAATTAGGGAAACACGAAAGCAGAGAAGATTGGCAATCAAGTCAACCAGAGTGAAAAAAGTGAAAACTGCACATAATAAACCTGATATGAGGCTCTAGGTCTATCAGATACTAAATTGGGATCAATTGAGGGTGGGTACCCACGGAGCCGCAATCCAGGATAGCCGAAAAACTAAATACCTCCGGTTTTAATTTTAAAAAAATTAAAACCTGGAGTAACTAGTTTTTCGGAACATTTTTATAATCAGAATTAATTTTCATCATAAAACTGGTCACTAAACTGTCACAAAAAAGCCACAAAACTTTGCAGCCTGTTAACTAACAAAACTCCGAACATTTTTATGAGATTTGGCTAATATTTTTAATCTCATTGAATCTTATTGAGAGGAGGGGGACAGAGCGTGAAAGAAGGAAGAATGGTGGGACTAAGTGTGGGGTGGTTTAGAGAAAAGGGGAACGTAATTGTAACAGTCGCCTACGTAAGTCACATATGAGGCTGAGGAAAACATGCCCTATTACCATTGGCTCAAGGGTCAGGGACACTATTGTGCCAGTCGGTCATATTTGGAGGTTTGACCTTAATCAACGCAAAAGACTTGATTTTGGGGTGAAATGGCATTTTTTCAAAAATTTGAATTGAGCATGTCATGCTCAAGTTTCTCGCGACAACTGAAAATAGCAGAAAAATAAGATCAGAAGAACCGAACTACAATCGCAGGAAAGTAGTCGAAAAAACAGCTGGAAATTGCTATTCGCAATTTCCAGACATAAGATTGTACGGAAGTAGAGCTGTCTCATTCTTAAGAGAAGACAGAGCGATCGCGAGTGGAAAAGAAAGCGAATCAGAATTGAACCAGAGTGAACCTTCGGTGGAAAGGTGGACAACCGAAGTCTCCCAATGGTCCAGCCCCAAAACTCATATCTCAAGCTAAAACTTATTCAGTTAAAAGCCTCGAGTCAAACTTGATGATCCCTTTGTTCTCGAGTTACTTACTGATTTAAAGAAATTTTTGCTAAAAAGTAAATTTCAAACGTTTTCGCAGCTATGTGCATCGTCAGGATTTTTTACAATAAACTAATCTAAATGACGATAATACATCAATTTACAAGTGTTATTTACAATAATTCACATACAATTTGGTTCTAACCCATCATATTAAAAAATTAGACAATCCCCAGAGAATGGCCAAAATGCAATTTGTGCAGACTTCGAATTTTAGCAGTAAGCCTTCCGGATTGGTGGTTATTAAGAATTAAGGACGTTATTGGAACGATTAGCCAGACGGTGAGGGCTGGAATATTCTAGTATTTTTAAATTTCAAAAATTCGAATTATGACGTCATATTTCTGAGAAACGTCAGAAACGGCCATTTTGGCAAAAACGAGAAAGAAAAAAGAGAACAACTTTATCTGCGATAGCGAACAGGACGAAAATCGAGATTAAAAACGACAACGAACTACAGAATAGCCGAGGACGTTCCGAGTTGCAACTATTGTGCTGCTACAATAGTTGCAAGGCCGTTGCGAACAACGATGAAGGGTAAGAGACAGCCTTCCGGAATAGGAGGAAATCAAGATTAACGAGCTTGATTTAGCGGATTCGTCAATCCGGAAGGGTAAAGGAACTGAAACTTTTATCCTGCCACGTAAACTTTTAGCATCCTGTCATGTCCTGACTTGAATTTAATTGATATTTGGATTAGTTTTGACAAGGATGAGGTGCTAGGAGTTGGGGGGGGGAGAGGGTTGATCCATCATCGATGGAGATGATGATTTTTATCTACTGAACAAAAACAATAGTAATATAATAAGTAGTAACCCTGTTTTTAGGAGTGACCTCGTGGTCTGGGGATACTGAGACCCAGCCATGAGCTCACTATTTTCATGTAATTAAGTTAATTTGAGCGTTCTGGTCGAAGCCGGAGAGCAGTACGTTTTTGTCGAACCGATGTTAGAAAGACCACCGAAAAGTACTGGCTTGGTAGAGACGGTGAAAAGCATGCAAAGCTCTGTTTAGACGTTAGCCAGTCGTCTTAAGACTTAGTTTTGTTATCCGTCGATATGTATCTTCCGGGCGAATGTTACATACATGTTTTTATGGCGCTCCTGGGTGTTATTCTTTTTTAACATCATGACCGGCAGAACCGTTAACGAGCGCTCCGCGCCGAGCGGATGCTCACATTAACGCCCTTAATAGGCCTAAACCGCCGGGGCGGAAGGGTAGTTCGGAACGCGGAAGCCTTCCTGATTACCGTGAATAGTTTTTTAACCTAGTTAAGACCGAAAATTCACGAACCAGGAAGGGTGGGGGGAATCGCGAACCCCTCATCCCCTGAGTAGTTTGTGACCAAAAAAAACTTAAAGATATAAGTAAAACCAAACAAAAAGTAGTATGGTACCCAAGAAAAACAAAAAACATAAAAAATTGCCGAAAAAACCAAAAACAGTAAAAAAGTAGAAAATCAGTAGAAATCATCCCCCCAGACAAGATGTGATCCAACCCCCCCGTTTGTTGTTGATAGATATATTGTTGTTACAGGCATTTATATCAGTCAGGATCGTTACGATCAGTTTTGTAGCCCGTTTGTGAGGCTTGTACTGTAGGGTTATTTGAGCATTTAAGCACGTTAATGATAAATTGCGCTCAATCCGGAAGGGTCAGCTGATTTGCGCTCAATTCGGAAGGGTCTTGGGTGAAGACCGATCCGGCAAGCAGTACAAGGAGCAACAAGAAGAGGCTCAACGACGACAACAATCGACTGTTGGGTATCGTTAACAAATTTTGTATCCCTTTTGGTACAAAAGTTAAGATAGTAATCTGTGGGGGGCTCGACAGTGCTGCACTGTAGTGACCCTTCACCGAACTGCGAATATCCGAGTTAAGCAACTTAATTCGGATATTAAACAAACCCGGAGGGATATAGTATTACTAATATTTTTATTTATATAGCCTATATTAATAGTCTTATATCGTTTTTCAGTGAAAAACAGCGAAAACAGACCGGTTTTTAGGGTCAAAATAGCGATATTTTGATCCCCCCACAAGTCGCGATTTTTGAGATATCGATATTTTTTGAAACGGAAAAAAGCGCTAAGTTAGTGTGTTACATCGTAACTGCACTACCATAATAGATAGAACCGGTTAAGTTTAGTCCGGAAGTGGTTGGAACTATTTTGGTACCGAAAACTGAAATTTCGTGATTTTTGAGAAAAACGGAACATTATAAATTTAGAAAATTTTTTGAAATTTTTGAGTTACGACAGTAAAAATAGTTGTTCGGACAACGTCTACTAGTGAATCTACGAGTTTTAAAACCCGCTACCCGAAAGCCTTCCGCGTTTCAGAGAAATCGAACATAACGTGTTTGATTTGGTGGATTCATCAATCCGGAGGGGTCCAGGTAGCATAGTTTTTCGCAAATTTTTTCTGCTAAAGCGTTTTAGATCGGGTCTTTTGCATTGAACTAGAAGGGTATAGGCCTTCTGAGCTCGGATCAATAATTTTTAGGACGAAAGGACCAGAATTGCGGAAAAAGTTAGGTGGAACCTATAAGTGAGAAATTTTTTGAGTTTGCAAGAAAGACGTTTTGGCTAATAACTTTTCGACAACTGGACAGATCCGGTTAATCTTGGTACCATTAGATCAGAAATTAGCTGAACTTACTAGAAGGAAAGAGAATTACTCAAAAAAGCGAGCGAGAAAATTTTTCGAGATTGTTTTTAGCAAATTACACAAATCCGGAGGGGTACACCCTTCACGTTTCATAAATTTTTCTGAAAAACCCTTAGACCCCTAGCAAAAGGTAATAGCGGTTGAATAAAGTAACTTTAGGCCGTTCTAGACCAAAAGGGAGGGCTAAAGGCACAGCAAAAGCTTAATCGAGCCGAAGTTAGGCCAGCGATAAGACCCTTCACCGTTGGTGTGAATTGTCAAATAAGAAGCTTAACTTCAATCCGGAAGGGTCTAGGAAGGTAGTACATACCCGAGAGTCTGGTATTTTTACATACCCTTCCTAGTTAATTGAAAGAGCAAAATTGCATCGGAGAACGTATCCGGAGGGGTATAGGTTGAAAAAAGGAAATCTGCGAAAAGCTACTTTTACAAAACCGGAGGGTTCCCAATCCGGAGGGGTCAAAATTTTTTTCAAGTTAGGAGGGTTCCCAATCCGGAGGGGTCTAGATTTTGTTAGTCCGGAAGGGTCCAATTTGTGCCAATCCGGAGGGGTATTATTTTATTAAGGACTTAGGTAGACGAAAGAAAGACTAAAAAGTGAGAGGTATTAGGTTATTAACACACAGGCTAGGTATCAGTGACTGCACTGGTAACTTGCCTTTCAATAAGAACCAGACCAAAACAAAACAGGTCCGAACTCGGATATTCGCGACACTAAGTCTAAATTAAAAAGAGCGTGATTCATTGGTGTGGATTGTAACATAATACGTTTTTGGGAAAAGTGACTGCCCTGAGGATTTTAGTAGGTCTAGCTCGGGCAGTCCGAAGGCAGATAGGTAACACAGTACTCGGTGGGTGCAATAGACGCCCACTTGAGAGAATTACTGCCTTCGAAGTTTTGTCTGTTTGGTGCTGCACCGAGCAGGGAAAGCTTTTTCTTTAAAAGACAGGTTCGACTATTGTACTGCGACCGACTAAGAGTACATTACACATACGTTTTTTTCATAGAGGTATTCATAGTTTGACATTAAATATATATATTTTTTTGATTGATTTTAAATCAACATAAACTGTGCTTGATTGGGTAGTGAGTACACTATCTTTTAAATTGACTGATAACATCATATTGTGCTAGTTTTCAAATCTTACCACCGATAATTGGTTAGTGTG